GTAGATGAACTGCGGGGACGGGGAGAAGGCGGGCTGCTCACCGAGGACAGCAGGACCACGGCTCAGCCAGGGACCCCCACGCCCCTCCCGCTTTGCTCCTGGCCTGCCCAGCGTCCTCGGGCCACGCGAGCAAACGGGGCCGTGCGGAGCAGAGGGACCGTGTGCCGTCCCGGCTGCGCACAGGGGCCGCTGTTTGACGGCTGCTTTGTCCCACCCCAGAGGTGGCTGCGTTTCAGTGACACGACAGCCCATGTTTATAGCGGGGAGTTAAATCACAACACGTCCCAGTGCTCTGAGCAGGAAATGGAGAACCAGGCCTCTGACCGCACAGCTTGTTTTAACCAGCCGTAGGTGCCAACCGTGCCGGGGCAGGGGAAATTGGGTAATTCGGACAGACGGTAACGGGCAGGGAAAGCTACTGGAGGGCAGTGAGGAGGAGAAGCCACAGACTCACCCGCCCAGACAGCCGGCGTCCCTCCAGCACGGGCTCCAGGTAATACACTGTTACACACCCAGAGGCCAGAGATTCTCCGCTCTGATGGCAGGGAGTTGGGCCGAGAGGAAGCCAGCTCGGCTGCCTTACAAGGACGGGTGCAGCTGGCCCTGTCCAAGCGTTGCTCCATCCTCCAGCCCAGCACTAGCCCCATTGTGCAGGTGGGCAAACTGAGGCCGAGGGGAACGCGACTCAGACAAGGCCCCAGAGGGAGTCAGCGTCAGAGCCAGCCATGCCCTTGCCCCAGACCCACCCACGCTGCAGCTTCCAGCCGCTGCTGTCGGGAGGTCGGCTCTCGCCGGCTGCCGGGCTGCAGGCCAGACGCTCTCCATGGCCCAATGCGGGCAGCAGGGTGCCCAGCTGGGCCTGGCCTCAGCGGGGCTCATCCCGGCACAGCTCACAGGCCTCGCGCCCTACCTCCCAGTACTTGGCCCGGCTGATGCCCTCGGAATAGGCCCGGGCGAAGCTGCTCTCGCTGTTGAGGGCGGTGATGGCGGCGCTGAGCTGGGACATGGGGTGCAGGTTGGTGGGGAAGTTGTCCAGCATGGTCACCACGTGGGAGGGCAGAGCCGCCCTCTTGGCCCACTCTTGGGAGACCCAGCTCACCTGAGGGAGGAAACACCACACGGGGTTAGCCGGAGAGCACCGAGGGGCTGGGGGCGCAGGCTGCCTGCCCCCACCGGGGCTGGCGGGCCAGGCCCGGCGCGGAGAACAGGCCGCGGCAGCATTGGCGAGGCCACGAGAGATCGGGGCTTAAGTCACAGAGCCCAGAGCCACGGCCAGAGCCCCCCCCCGCCTCACCTGTTCCTGAGTGGGGATGTCTCCGGTCAGAAGCAGCCAGAACAGGCCCTCGGGCAGGGGCTCCTCCCCTCCTGGGGCTTTGGGCAGCAGCTTCTGGCACTCGGGGATGCTGTACCCGCGGAAGCGGATGCCCTGGAGAGAAGGGAGGAGAAGGGAATCAGTCTCTGAGGAGAGGCGGCGGCCTGGGGGGGTCGGTGGGGGGACGGCGAAGGCCTTACCTCATCGGGGTCCAGGACAGAGGTCTCGTATATTAACCCCTTCATGCCTCTCATCCCGCCGTACACCTGGAAGGGACAGAGCCAGGAGGCAGTTAGCGGGGTTCAGAGTTTG